GTGTTGGCCTTTGAGGGACTGACCAGCAGCAAAGACAGTCAGGTAGGCAGCAGTGTAAATCAGGAGTTCTCTGGGCCTTCTCATGCTGTGTCCCCCAGGAAGTTCTCTAGCCCCTCATGTTCCCTGACCCTAACGGCCTCTACTCAGCTCTTCAAAACTCTCTGCCTTCTCACTGTTTTCTTCGGGCAGGTCAGAAAGATAAAGATGGACCTCCAGAAGGCTGCCACCATCCCAGTGAGCCAAATCTCCACCCTATCAGGTTAGTCAGAGGGGTTAAGAGCATGGCCCTTCACTTCATTTTATTGTTTTTTAAGATTCTAAATCTATTTATCTGTAAGGTTTCTATAAACAGAGTATGTTCAACCAAGCGTTCACAGTTGAATCAGGTACGTGTCAGTTCTGTGAGTCCTGTTTTACTCTGCTTTATTTCCTCTTCAACACACAGAAGGTAATTGGTACGTATTTGTTGACTCATGTGTTAAAAATAAGCTGTGTATTAGTAGTAAATTATTTATCAAGGCTCTTAGCTGGAGTTGAAAGTTACTGCTGAAAACATTTCTAAGGGAACCTAGGATGTGACCTATTCTTTGCTTTTGTCCTGTTTCATCATCTTTCCAAACTTGAAGCCTGCCTAAATACTTTAAAACAAGTCCGTTTCTCCCCAGAGACTGAGATTCAGAGTAAAAACCAAACAGAAAAGACCCTTCTTCTTCTTCTATAGAAACAGGTTCCAGTTCACAGAAGCCTCCGGATTACCGACTGCAGCCAAGTGGCCACAGCGTGTGTACAGCTGGAAGGCTGCTCTGACTTAGCATGGCTCCCAGGGCCCCTGATTAACTTTTTACCTAAAAAGTATAGGAGAGTCTCAGCTTCAGCCCTTGACAGGCTATGTCACAATGTGGTAGGAAGCCAGGGAGACAACTTTTCTGTTGAGGCTTCAAGAATGTAGAAGAATCACAAGGGGCTTGGGTGCTTGAGATTGAAGCCATGTCACAATGTGTTCTTATTGTGGGACTCAGTGGTACGGAACAGCTTCTTGATCATAGTCGTGGAGGCCCATTTGTTTATAATACGAATACCTGGGTAACCTTTACAGACATAGATTAAAATATAACTAGCATCCTGGGTACACCTATATAGCTCCCACTGTAACGGTTCCTGGGTGCTGACTCACCCCCCCAAACCTTCTGGTGAATGTATAGAAGGCACGGCCCTGCTGCACTTGGGGCTCAGCCTGTGGATAGGAATCCGCTGAGCCAGGGCCGGCACTAATAAATGCTGCTGCTCCCTGAACGTGTCGGCGTCCCAATGCCTTGTCCATAGTTACACGATACCTGCCACAACAGAACTCAGTAACACTTTGCTGCCCGAAATTCTCTCTGGAGCAGGGCAGGGTGTAAATAAATAAGAACGTATAGCTTTCAGGAATGTGAAGTGCCTTTTCCTGTGGTAGCCACAGGGGAGATGCTGACTAGATGGCCGTTCCTCGCCTGCATTGCCCTCCTCAGCTCATCCCCAGGCCCCCTGGGTGACCGCAGTCAGCCCTGAGAGCCGGAGGTGCTTGCCCCTCCCACCTGTCCACAGCTGTATTTCCCCCTTAGCATCCTGGTTCAAAGGACAGGTGTCCTTCCAGCCCACGGCTCCTTCTCCCTCCGCTTGTTCCCATCCCTTCCTTCAAGACTTCTCCTCGTCATTTCTTGCCTTTCTCTCCTGTTTACTGCAAATTGTTCCCTTCTGTAGGCTCCTTTCCCTTTAAATATACTTAAGTGCCTCACATCCTAAAATGTTCCCTTTGATTCTATATGTAAGTATTTTCTAGTCTTCCTCGTGGGTGTGCTTGGTGCCAGGGATTATTCCCTTCCTTGTGGCCTCCATTTTGTGGCCCTCTGTGACAGTGCTCTCTTCCAGGTTCTCCTCCTACCCCACCTCCTCCCATGTGGGCTTCTGTTCCCTCTAACTATAGGTGTTCCCTAGGAACCCACCTCACCCCTCAGTGCTTCTCATTCTGCACACACTGTGGCTTCCAAGGTGACCTCCAGTGCCGGCGACTCCGCAGTCTGGTTCGTTCCTTTCCACCGAGCTCTAGGTTCCCTAGCTTCTGCTGTCTGAGCAGCGTCTCTCCTGGGCATTAGTGAGCGGCTTCCGCATGCCTGGGGTTCAGCGCGTTCCAGTCTGAACTCATCTTCCCACGCCTGCTTTCCTCCTGCTCATGCTAAGTGACCCACACTGTTCCCAGCTAGTCACTGAGCTGGAAACCTGCAAGTCCGCTTAACTGCCTCCTCTGTTTCACTCACGCTCCCCGTCTGACTAGGCTCTAGTTTTGCTGTTCTTCACTTTTCTGTGTGTCTCCTGACTCTGTCCCTTTGTCTCTGTCACTTCCGTAAGCCCTTGTCCTGCAGCCAGACATAGACGTGTACTAGCATCAGTGCCCGGTAAACGTCAGGTCACTGAGAGAGCACCCAATTCCTGTCTCTTTAGAGGTGGATGTCCACGAGTTGTTAGATTCAAGCAGAATTTAAGTATCTTCTGTGCTGGCGTGGTATATGGGATGTGGGAGGCCGTATCAGCCATCGGGTGGGGAGCTGGCTTTCCTAACAGGAGAAGCGTGGAGAAAGGGACTGGATGGGGGTTTGGGCCAGACAGCTTCTCTGAAACCCTCAGTAAACCAGTAAGTATGGATGTGAGCTGGGTGTGTTTGTATGGAAATGTATGTATTTTAATAATCTCTGTAAAGTTTGAGTCTCTATTTCTGTTTTTCTGGGAATTATTAGTGTTGGGGTTTCTGTGATATCTAATTATTTAATTCATTATTCCCTCCTTCTCTTTTTACTTCCTAAGAAATGGGGTGGGCTTTTTTTTTTTTTAATGGAATTGAATTGGTGGTTTGGGAAGGATATTTCTGAGATTTTTATAACATTTCTCCAAGTAATTAGGAATTGATCCAGTATTTCTAAACTAGCGATGCTGTATTCATTCATGTAAATTTTCATTGCAAATAATGGAAACTAATTTAGAGCTGCTTAATCAAAAAAAAAGGCATTTGTTCTTAAGGTAAAGGGGTTTTTCACAGAACATAGTGGCAGGAATGGGGCTATGTGGCTACATTCTCCAGAAGCAGAAACGTTTTTGCCTTTCTCTCTTCCATCTTGTCTTCACTCTGTATATCTTTGTTCTTATTTTTGGTCCACATGGCAGGTGCTGGGCCCACTGCTCACAGGTGTGTGCTGTAGGCCAGCACTGCAAGGAGTTGACTGTTGGCTGGTTCGGCCTGCCCACTCCTTCTCTAACTGTAGCCAGTGCTGGGGATGGGGCATGCAGGACCTGCAATCCAAATGGCTAGTGTAGCCCACTCTTCTGTCTCTGAGGATGAAGGAGAGCAGGTCCTGGGGCGGCGGGGGTGGGGCATCATTATGTGTTGGGGAGATCCTTTAGATGTTTTCTTCCTGGAGATGATATCTTTGTTTTGGAGATACCAACCACAGCCCATAGGGTCTGTTACAGTTCACACCTTTTCCATACTGTTTGTCTCTCTATTTGATGTGTCAATTTCAGAATTAGTTTGTTCCCAAGTAAGGAATTCTTTTGAGATGGTACCATGTTGTATGTACTTCTGCACCTCAGATAACGTGCATTTGATTGTCAAATATTTATCCACACCAGTATTTTAACTTCAGGCTCTGAACTTCTATAGCACTTAATAGCTGGAGTTATATAGAGGCCTTGTTATTACAATGATGAGAAACGATCTGCAGTTGTGTCTTCTCACTAAACTATCTCTGTCATATCCAGGCTCAAAGCTGAAGGAGGTCTTTGACAAGATCCATGACCTACTCTCTGGAGAACCTGTTCAGTGTGGTGGGTGCACCGTGTCTGTCACACTTCACCCACAGGGCCTGGACTTTGTGCAGTACAAACTGGCAGAGAAATTTGTGGTGAGAAACCTTATTGCCAGAGGTATGGAAGAAGGGGTTGGTACACAATGTTTAAGCCTCCCGTGAGTATTAAGTTCTGTCTCTCTGTCCCCAGAAACAAGGAGCTGAGGAAGTGGCCTCGCACCATGAGGCAGCGTTTCCCATCGCAGTGGTGGTGTCCGGGATCTGGGGACTCTTCCCCAAAGTGGGGGCCCTCATTCTGGCTCATCTGCACAAGAATTGCCCTTACTCAGTTCCTTTTTACCCAGCCTTCAAGGAGGGCATGGCTTTGGAAGACTATCAGAGGTAGAGTTGTTTCTCCTCACTGGCTATGAGGGTGATGAGTGAAAGAGAAATAGAATTGGGATTCGTTTCACCCCCACTTTCAGCTCCTCTTAATGCCCCTTGAGTGAACTATCAGAAAACACAGTGTCTTTCATGTAAACTGGGTGACTTTTGGAATTTGTGGATTTAGATACAATAATCAAGATAGTTTAATGGAAAGAATACTGGATCTAGAATCCAGGGGGTACCTGCTTTGTCATTTAATAGATTTGCAGAATGGGTAAATCATTTAACCCCTTTGAGCATCATTTTCCTTATTTGTCTGTGGGGGCAACGATATGCGTTACCTCCTGTGAGTTACCTCAAAGGGCTTAGATGATGCACAGATTCGATCATGGAGATGAGTACTTTGTAAATTAAGTATTCTACAAATGTAATATCTAATAATTTAATAATGCTAAACATAATACTAATGTAGTGTTATTTTAGCCATGAAAATAGATTGTCACCTTCACTTCAGCCTTATCACATTGAGATTTTTCTTCCTACATAGGATGCTTGGCTACCTAGTGGAGGATTCCAAGGTGGAACAGCAGAGCAGATTTCTG